GTGACGCCGTCCGATGGAGAGGGGGGGCGAAGGGGGGAGTAGTTGGAACCCTGTGCTCCAAGCCTCCAACTCCTCCCTTCTGGACCCTGGAGAGTCCTCCCTCCTTCCTGATCGACAGTAGTACGGACTGAGTTTACCGGTGCACACTTGTTACGGGGTTCGAGCTCTACACTGACGTTCGGGCCATCCCATCTGTAACGACTGGCCCGGCCCTCGGATAGTTTCGTCGACTCTACCTGCTCAGTGCTGACCGATCGCCGGACACTCTCCTTTCCGCGCTCAGGAGATTCTCAGTTTTCTCGCTGCACGGACGCCGCGCCAAAGCTCACATCTCCCGGATTTTTCGTTACGATGGATTAGACTTTGAACACTATTCGCCGGTGAGAAGTCTCTGCCTGGAGGCGGTCTGCTCTTGCGCTGCATGTCTAGGTTCATCGACAGTCAGTGCAACTCTTGGTCTGCTCCCCTTGAGTGGTGTCTACACGGTTCGTTTCGCGGTGCGCAAGGGCTTGATTCAGCGACCGGTCAAAGTCTGTCTGTCGACCTTATCTTCGGCATGTCGCTTTCAGTGCGCCGAAGCGAGTGTTCGCGCGCCGCCTCAAAAGCCATCGCTCGTGCTTGGATTCTCAACAACTCCTCGCTTGCGATGGACATCTGGAGATATACTTTTTTATCTTTACACCGCGATTTAGCCCGATCCTGTCGCCGGTCAATATCAGTGGGCCTCGATGGTAAGATGGGCGATGGCTTGATGTGAAGCTTTCCAAACTCCAAAGATTGTGCTGTTCTACCATAGGCCCAGAAGAGAAAACCGCTCCACAAAGCAGACCTTAATACCTGATAACACAGGAAACCTAGTGGAGTGGAGGGGCTTTATCATCGCCAGTCCCACAGACTACCCCGTAGCGAATCCCAACGTCAAAAACACGTGTACTCCAGTGTCCATACTCCAGACTCCAGACTCCGGAGAACAGACACATTGCAGGTCCCCATGGGGGAGGATCTACCATTGGGGGATGAATCGCTCGCGTATCATTACAGATTGAGTGCACATAGTGCGCGAGACGAGACGATATCGTCCAGGATACTCGCGATCTGTCAATATGCCTGCAGTCTCCGAAGTATATTGAAGTGAAGTTGCAAGACACGGCTACGCCGTGTCTCCCGAGGAGAAATTGGGTCGAATCAGTGGTGTGTTGGGAGCTTTGACATCTGTGGTGAGCAGCAACAAAAGTAGCCCTAACATACACCAGCCATGGTGAGAATTGTGGCAGCCAATCCTGCCTCTTCCCCTCCTCTTCCTGCTTTTGCTGCGTGTCCGAGCATGATCTTTGAAGAAGAGCTGCTCTATGTGTTTAGAGTAAAAGCATGCATTAATCTGTGCATCTGTGCATTGACGGGAGCGAACATACCCGGGCGAAAGCCCATGCTTGTCCTATATCGGACCATCTGACTTTTGAGACGAGCAGGGAGCCGACACGAGCGACATGCTGGATGTAGACCAAGCTGTCGCATGGATGTTGGTGTACCTGGAGAGGAGCTGCCTATAAGCCACCACAACTTCAGACCATTAAACCATAGCTGCATACAGGCAATTCAATCCATAGATTCCATCATTATTATTACTCTTTTTGCAAATTTCAAAAACGAAGCAAAGCCCCACTCGTCACAAGTCGACACTCGACAGACGGCCAGAACAGACTGTGCTGCGGGTGAGGCACACAGACTGTGATAGTGGAGCGTCTAGGGGGTTTACATGCTGCTTTAGTTTGCAGTAGACTGAGGCCAAAGCACAGAAGACTGCTGAGGTTGATAGTCTAGCTCTGTAGTGTGCATGAGCATTCCAGGCAGGTGAGTCGAGATTTCGGATTAAGTTGATCGGCTTACTTGGTTGTTGAAACTAATTATTCTATAATTGTGGCCAGATCACTGTATGTACCAGTAGTTGTGCTGTTTGGGGTTATTATTATTATTATTATTATTATTATCATCCTTGGGACGAAAGGTGCACAGACTGCCCGATATCATCCTGGTTCTGATGGCCATACCGCTACGAGGTGTCTGTCTATCTTATGATATGCATACTTCTGCGGATCAATCGGATTACCATACAATAACGTCGCAGGGATTCGGATATACATACAGAGAGTATAATATCTACAGCCAATAAACCCGCCTCGTTCATATCATATCGCTGCTCTGGCGGTGGCAGCTCTCATCCATCCTGATCCATGCAGCATCAAGATAGCTAAGCTAGCTCTATTCTACAGCAACACATGACACCTAGCAAACATCAGACATGCATCTTACCACCCACATTGTTCTCTACAGTCTATCTATAGCCGACTTGTCTTCTACGTCTTCACTCTTCTGCTCCTCCCATGTCGCTCTCGAACCTCTCCCCCCTCTCCCCCCTCTCTCCTCCTCCCATCCTCCCATCCTCCTCCCCCGCTACTCTCCCCCAAGCTATCCTTGACACGAACGCCATCGCCCTCCCATTAGCCCGGATCGCCAACGGTCCGATATGACGGGCCATGGCACCCTGTCCAACTGGACCGGGTCTGCCTGGCACAAAGTATATCTATATCGATGAGGTCCACGATCCTCATGCAGTGTACCTATACCTCCACAGCCAAGCGGGCTATTTATTGTTGCCCCCCTGGGACGGGGGCACAGATCCGAGCGCGCGTCAGCCTCGGGAAGGGGAAAGCGAAAGGGCAGGAGGGGAAGCGAAGCAAAGACTTGCCCTTCGACTCAACCCCCCCCCCTCCTCCTCCTCCTCCTCTCTGCTGCGCAGCACTCCCATACCACTGACCACTACCAGTGGGCGAGTAGGGTATGACTCGCCTCAAAAGCCAATGACCCAAGGCACCATCTTTCTTTCTTTTGCTCCCCTGGAGAAAAGGCGAAACGGACGGGAAGATCCAGATCTAGATCCGCTTTACTCTTCAATCTACCTTCCGCACCTAGCCCGGATATCACGGAAGGGGCGCGTAAGCATCTCGATCAGCTGGTTCTTGTCGGATTTCTGGGGGGGGGGGGTGGTATCGTGGTATACTTACTTCCCTGCCTCGGGAACTAGGTGGACAGTTGATACCAAAACATCTGATTACGAACACTGGAATCGGAAAAAAAAAAAAAAAAAAAAAAAGAGAGAGAGAGAGATAGAGGGAAAAAATGACGAATGACACGCATAGAAAAACGCCTGCAATCATCCATATCACACACTCTCACTCTCACTCTCACTCTCACACACAAAGCCCATACCCAGAGCCCCCAGTGCGGGGCGCAGAAGCGCAGAACAGTGTTGTAACGTGCACACACTGTCCTCCTGCCAACTCATCGCCCTCAATGGGGGCCAGGGCCCAAGGCATGGGTAAGTGAGTTTCCCCAAGCGCACGGCCGTGTTTCTGACACTGCGAGACGCCGCTCAATCATTCCAGCATCCCCTGCAGCTTGACGGTAGATTGAAGATGGGGGAGTTTCGAGTTTCACCTTTTTGACTTCTCACTCTCTCCCTTTCAATCTCAATCTCAATCTCAATCTCAATCTCAATCTGAGAAACTCAAAAGTCCCATACCCAAAATCCAATGTCCCACCACGCCCCGCAAGCCGCCGCCATCGCGGTCTCGGCTCGTCTCATCTCGCCTATCTCCCATCTCCCATATCACTTCTGCAACGAATAATCTATAACCAAAACCCAGACGCCTTACAAAGCGGGAACAAAAGACCTAAAAATGCACGAACATCAACATTAATTAACTTAACATAGAACTAAACATTCCACACCGTCCGTCGATTCGAGCGTCCCCCCGCGGTGGATGGTGGCTGACTCCACGTCCTTCTCTAATGGCTCCCCCTATCCTCCTACAGCGTGGTATGTACCCTCGCCACAACGACCAAAGCTCGAGGATGGATGGTGGTCTAGCTAGGTATCTATCTATCTACCTACCTATCTATTAGTCCATTGATGCATGTACCTACGTATTCTATGTATCTGTCGGCGCCACCGTACGCGCATAATCGGTGGCAAAGTGAAGGGCAGATAGCAAAAGTAGGATGGAGGTGTGGAGGGTGGAAGAGGGGAGTGGATAGTTACGATGCGAGGCAAAGCCGTCTCCTGGTGTTGGTGTTGGTGTTGGTGCTGGTGCGACTTTGACGTTCCTCCTGCGGTTCGGTTGGGAATGTTACTCTCGCACAGGCAGATGTGGATTCGATGCTATATGGACAGATGTATTATTGCTATCGTGGGGTTCTGATTGGAGGGGGGGGGGGGGGGGTGGCGTGTTGTATAGTGGCGAGGATGGGATTTGCATTCTGGAATTTCTGCTCGATGATGAAAGGGATCAAGGTGTTGTAGTTGGTGGGTGTTTGTGGCAGAGAATGGGGTCTCTGTTCTCGTTCATTCTGGATGATTCTTTGGGCTTGTGGTAATCGTGCTGATGAAGCTGCGTGGAGGACGAGGGGGATGAAGAGTCGTATCGGACTGTCTATGAGTCTAGTACTTATGTCGTACATTGTATGACCCCATGCTACCTACCACTTTGCTTGGGGGTTGATTCCCATACTGCAAGCATTCCGAATCGGTTGATACTCGAAGATGAAAGAAGTAGGATTTCAAGGTCACATTAAGCCCTTCACTATTATAATCATAACCTCTGTGTATGTCAGGAAAAGAAAAGAACTTGAATGGAAAAAGAAAAAAAGAAAGCAAAAAAAAAGAAGAGTTCCATCCGTCAGAGACCTGCTCATGACGATAGAAAAGAAGTGAAAATATACAAAGCAAGCCCAAAGGTTCATACAGCCGCCGGTATATATGTGCAATGCAATGCAATAAGGTCGCCCTCATCAAGTGTAACAAGACAGTCTGGTTTTGTCTTCCCCGTATATTAAACAGATACAGTAGCAATCAAATCAAATTGTTCATGAAAACATGTCCATTCATCATCGAAGTCGTTATCATCGGCTCATAAGATTGGGGTACCGGAGGGTCCCACCTCTCAAACACTGGCAGTTCTTCGTTTCACCTCGCTGGGTTTCTGCGCGTACGCGATCAACAATCGGAATCCAGTGCCTCGTTTCTGACATTCGCGGAGGACGCGCTTGTCGGCCCAGATGCTGAGACTGGCGTCCCCGTTCGGAGGAACTGGGATCTCATAGCATCTTGTGTACCACCAACGTCCCACTTTGGCGACTATCTTTCGTATAGACTCGTCGTTCGAAGGAGACGGGGACGGATCGGAAAGAAGATCCCCAAGAGACAGATCAGTATCGTTGGACGGCGATTTGCCATGCCACTTAGGTTGCCGCGTGCTCATGGAGGAGCTCGTCAGAGCTGAAAATGCAGTTGAAGGCGTGCTCGTGGCCGCCAACGTGGAAGGATTCGAAGACGAAGTCGAGGTTGAAGAGCCAGAGGATCTGAAAATCACCCCCGTCACCGGAATCCGCACCATGCAACGCCTGAGATTGTCAAACCCATGTCGTCCCAGCAGTTTCTGAATGCTGTCACTTGCGGGCTTCAGGCTGATGCTAGAGTCGAACAAATAAGTTCTCTCTTTAAGGTTCCTAACAGCTTTGCGAGTCTGGATGCCCATGTTGACCATGTCCAGGTCAAGCAGACTCATTTCCATGTAACCCCCAGGGCGGAGTACACGCTTGCATTCAGACACAAGGTTGTTCTGGACGCTGTCGGGGCATACTGGTAGAAAGCGGAGCACGGTCACTGTAAAATACCCCTTGCTGAAAGGGAATTGTTGCTCCAGGCTGGCCTGATAAACGGTGTGGTGGTTCGCTGGAGGTTGCCAGGCAGCTGGGTGTTTTGACGCAGTTGTCGCCGGCCCGTCCGTCAGGCAATACACGTCAGCGTTGGGATAGGTTAGGGCACAGTAAAATGACCAATCGTGGTTCCCTAGACCATCAATGACAAGTATTCGCTCTTGCTCTCCGCTTCGGACATGGTTGTGCGCCGGGCTAAACAGCACCCGTCCAAATGACAGCCAGCGGCTCGTCATAAGGGATCCTGATCGAATATTTGTTTGAGCAGTTGGGCCATCTCTGTCACGCTCGGCAATGTCAAATAAGACGGTGTTACGTTGCCGGCAGGTCTCAAAAGTCTCAGAGAGGTTCAAGGAGGACGAGCTGAGGAACGCAGCTTGCCGCTCAACAGGCGCAAGCGAGGTTGAAGGATCTTCAACACCAACAGCCTCGGTCTGATTCTCGTCCCGATCATAGCAGTAGCTGGCAATAATGTCGCTAAATGAAGGCTGTGAAGACGGAGCTATGGAGGAATGCAGCGCTGACACAATAGTGGAACGCCGTAGGTGAAACGAGCTCTCACTTGGCTGAGGTGATGATGGCGTGAGAGCCACGGTTGGATTCTCGGCGAGAGAAACAGGTGAACGTCTGTCAAAATTCGCATTGAGTTCGGCTTGGAGTGCCTTGCTTGCCCTCGTGGCCAAACCCAACTTCTCGTCCTCCATGAATTCCTCCAAGGGATTCGGCTTTGCTATCTTCGGGGAGAGGACGTGATCAATCAGGTCGTCATATTCTCCCCACACCTCGTCTTCTGTGGGTTCTGAACCGGGCTTTGGAAGAACAGCAGTGACAGCAGCCAAGGTCTCAGATCCACTTGAAGTGGAAACCATTGAGTCCTGCCTAGGGGAGAACGCCAGAAATTCGTCTCGAGGATAAGGACCGGCAATAAAATCAAGAGCACTCGTCAGGATTGGGTCGCCAAACGGCTGCATGAGGTTGAATCCAAGGCCTGCCGGACGACTGGCAGAACTTTCTGCCCGTGGAGTGAATGCAGACTGACTCGACATCTGCAGCTCGAATAGGCTGTTCGTCACAGGTGCAGCAAGAGACGGAGAATCAGCCGGGCTAAAGGGCCTAGAAAAGGACTGCATTGCCGGTTTGTGTTGCCTATCCCTCCTCGACACTACCTCAGGAATGCGACCGACCGATGCCAATCGCCGCGGACGCTTTTCATACGCGTCTGGGCTATTGTCGGTAAGCAAAGGGTCCTTATTGAAGTAGACCTTTGGTGAGACAGGACGATCTCGGCAGAATTCGCCTTGTAGCTTCGGAGGAGATGGAAGCAGAATGGACAGGCTTGGTTTTCTAATATTCAAAGCTGCTGGAATCTCCACTCGTGAGTCTGAGTCCTCGATCTCAGTCGGTGGTGATTCTTCGAGATGGTGAAAGATTTCTTCCAAGGGGTCCGAATCAGTGTCCACCAAAGCATAGTGCGCCACAGGACGGGATACTGAGGCCGGGGATATGGTGGCATGCAACTTAGGAGTTAAGGGCGTTTCGATGGCCCTTGATATCGACTTTTTCTCTTTCTGCACACTCCCATTTCTGTGGAAGAAGCTCCATTTCAGTCCCTTGGTTTTTTTCGGTCGCTGATCTGGCTGACTCGACGGCTCGCTTGCCATGACGCTACTTTGTGAGACGCCGCTGCTCAGTGGGAGCAGACTGCCATTATTCTTTGTGCCGGGCTGACAGGATATATCCGCATGCAGGATACTTTGCGTCGCAGAGGTGTCTTTGGCGGGACCGACTGCAGCTTTCGTTGTTGGATCAGGAACATCCACTTTAGCACGAGCTGTGGCCAGAGTGGAACCAACTGGGTAAGGGTTGTTACGTTCACGTCCGGCCACGGATGTAGCGAGCGACTCGCTTGAATATACGGCAAGGTCTCTTCCATGCAGTTGGACCTGGTCTAGGGCAGACGCCGTGCTGAGACCACTCATACTCTGTGCACTTTGGGTCTTCGCCAATGTGGCACCATTCACCCCTCCTCCACCAGTGATAATCACAGGCTCCAGGCGATCAAGCAAGAAATCATCAAGATCCAAATCTGGCCGACTCCTGTTACTTCCCTTGCTGCTAGACACAGACCTCGATGTAGTACCATTAGTGCTAGTCGATCTTGCTCTGCTATCACTGCTACCGACACTTGACTTTCGACCGCGTTGTGCGTACCTACCATAGGCTTCATGGCCTGTCCCAGCTGCTGGGCCTTTGCGTATGGATCGGTTCTCTCCGAGGCTTTGTCCATTCATGTCGGGCTTAGACTTTTTAGGGAAGAGACCGAATCGTCTGGACTTTGCAGAGTTTGTAGCATCCTGTTTAGCTTTGGGGTCTTTGGTCGGGATATGGGGCGATTTCCGTAATATCTCGGGAGAATTATAAATGGGCGCCGGTAATCGAGAAGAGCTTCTTGACTGCAACGAATCCACTGACGTCGCTGCTGAGGGATTGGTGATCAGTTGATTACCGCCCATAGTAACTGAGCTAGCCCCTGATCCGCGTCGGTTGCGGCTCAAAGTGATAGGTGCTAGATTGCTTCGGATCACAGGAGAAGGCTCAAGCACCAACCGATGGGTTCCTTCTCTGCTGGGCCTTGAGGGGATAAGTCCGGAATCACGAGCCGGCCCTCTTGTTGCTCTCCGGGATCCACGATCCTCGACAATACGACTTTTGCGCTCCTGGTCTGTTGCTGAAGACTCTGCCGCAGTCGTCTTGGTCATCCTTGGTAGATTTGATCGTATTGGCATCTTTTGAGTTACTTGGGCGGCAGAAAGTGTTGGCGCTTTCGGAGAACCATTCGTTCGCAGGGGACCATCGTGCTTATCCCTGAGCAACAGTACACTCGGCTCTGCGCCAGGGATCATGCCAGGAAAACCACTGGCCGTCGGATCCATCCAATCATCCTCCGAGGTAGAGTGCTGCACTGACTGTGAGAAGACGGGGAGCCTAGATTGAGAAGGGCTTGGATGCCTGAAGCGAGGACCAACCTTCGCAGAATGAACAATTCCTGGTGAATAGGAAGACAACGAGGTGGGAGTAGAAGTTCTACTCCATATTCCTGGGGATCCAGAATACCTTGTTGAAGGACTGCTGGCGGATGCAAAAACGGGAGTCGGAGGAGGCAGGTTCTGCGTCGCAGACGTGGCCCTTAGACTAGCGAGTTCACGAGGCCCTTGATCTGTCACTTGATCTGTCACTTGATCTGTCACTTTGCTTGCAACCCTGAAGTTCGAAGTAATTGGTGACGGCTTCGGTTTGGGTATGGCCGTCTGCTTCTCTGCAGATTGCGAAGGCCCGTCCGCAATGTAAGCAGGACCAATATCGCTGGGGATGATCACACTCAACTTCCCCGGCTTTGCAGTTACCGGTTTGGGGTTGTTTTGGTCAGTACTCTGTCCTATTGTCGGCGCCCTCCGACGCAAAACGTTGCGAGGTCTTTCACGTGTAGACCCCGGTGGTTTATTTGCAGTTGCTGCAATGGTGGGTTGTAGTATGGGTCGAGCTGGGGATATTGTGGTGGACGGGAAATCCGATGCAGAGGGCGGCGGATGAGTACTTGCTCTAGGCAGTGACGAGGCAGAGACGTTGTTGCTAGCTATAGATCGTAAAAGAACTGAAGACGCTATGAGCGAGCTACTACGCTCTGCGTCTGAAAAGGAAGATGATCTAATACTTCTAGTTGCCGAGCCCATGGATTTCGGAAAAGGTAGCCTCGAGGCTACCGCACCAGGGTGACCGGGGGTTCTAGAAGAAGGCTGCATCACCGAAGATGTCATGGTCCGACTTTGGGAAGCAGGATCCCTCAGCTTGGGTATACGGCCACCATCGGACTTGTACGACATGGTGCAACTTGGCTCTGATACCCAGTTTCAGCCCGAGGACCAATGTTTCAGTGATGAGCGGAGGATATTGCGAATATGGAATCATGCCGTCGAGAGATCGTAACTCCTAGCAGATTATAACGCTGTGTGATCAACACCACGGTCAGACGTCGCAATTAATTGAAAGTATATTTCACAAACCTCTTTCATTGCATCGTATTTGAACCTGGAAAGGAGAAGCAATGTGGCGGTCCTTAGTTGATAGGTAAAATAATTGCAAACGACCGGCGAGAGCAAGGGTATCTAGAACATATAGAAAACAATAGCAAACGCTTGAGTAAAGGTGCGAAAAACGGCCTGGCGATCAGGTACTAGCAACTCAGGCAGAAAGAATAGATAACGTGATGAAGGGTCAGTTGTGGAGTGACCTGAAGATATACAATATCCTGTAGGGCCAAAAAAAAAGTATTATATAAAAAAAAGGTCGAGTTATACTTTGCACTGCAGCCGATCAGGACATGCAGCTGCTCCGCCACAGTACCGAGTCACTCGTGGCTAAACTGTCAAACTTGTCAGGCTGAGTCTGCACGACCACGTCACAGAAAGCAGGAAAAACGCAGGAAATGAAATGGCAAGAGGATAAGAGACCAGCTGTACAGGAGAAAAGAATTGGAAGAGGCAGAAAATAAGACGAGGGAAAAATGAAGCGAAGAGTGTAAGAGGAGGAGGGGGAAGGAAAGATTTTGACTCAGGAACAGTGTTACTTACTCATGGGATGAATGTGCATTTCGCAAGGCTTTGCCTCGAGGAAAGGGGAAATTTACAGACCAATTAGAAAACCATTCGCATGGTACAGAGTAGCGGGGGAAGGAGAAGAAATTCACCTGCATGTATGCGGTCCATATAATAGGTCGTAGCGAGCATTTGCAGTGCAGATTGTGCGATCGACATCGGCTCTGTTGTCGAGATCTGGATGTGACCGACATGATCATTGGCGAATGTGCCGCAAATTTCTGCTATCAAGAAAGTCAAAGTCGCGCGCTTTTTGAACCTGTCAAAGACACACTCAGCTATAGTGAGCTAGAGCAAGTGGGATTAGTGTCGTTTGAGCATCCACGGCCCTGATGGATTGATGGTAACGGGATCGTGCACAGTAGGACTGGGAGGCCTCTTTGGATGGAGACATGCAAAAATGGCCCACATCTGGGCCCAGCCCGTTGGGCTTGATGGTTTGCGAGTTGCGACATCAGATAGAATGGGAGAAAATGACAGGTTGGACTGCAGTCGAGTGGCGTGAGATAGCGGAAAGGTCCATACTGTAGCACAGTGATCCTGATGAGAAAGTCATCCATCAGTCAGTGCATTCATTGACCAGAATCTGCTCGTAGTGATCAATTATTAGTAGCACATATCAAGCTGATCCATTTCCTACTGGAATCTGCTTGGTCCTGATCAAGGCGCATGGATGTTAAACCTGGGCTGACGTGCAATATAGATCGAATTAGCATCGGACAATTTTTTGGTGGCTTTGGGTTGTTCTTTTCTTAGCCAGTCAGGTGGAACACAGTCAGGCGTCGGCTTAGTGAGCAAGTCAGGTGGTGGTCACTGACCAGTCTGCACTCTGCAGCTAGTTACTGTGCCTCACAGTCTCACTGTCTTGACTCTTGACTCTTGAGTCAAACCCCCGGCGAGACCGATAGGCAAGACTTGTCGATCATTGGCACTAGTTAACTGACGCTTTGGGTTTTTGGAAGACGCGGCATTACAAGACAAAGATATACTTTACCACGAAAGAAACAGTCAGTAATAGGCAGTAGACAGCTTTTAAGGTAACTATACGGGGTATCCAGTAGTATGATTCTGGTTTACTGTGTTCCATTTTCATTGAGAGTGCCTCTATTCCTGCGTACTTCTTACGAGAGTCCTCATCACCGTTTAGGTCGGCCAGTATGTGATGTTCGTTGCGTTTGGTACTGGAAGGTTCGCCCCGGCCCTCCACCATAACCATGGATGAGCGATAAATGCGGAAGGAGAACAGCGATAAGTGTCTGCGACTTGCGAGAGCGATCCACTGTTGTACAGACAATGATAGAGATAGCGATTGTTCGATTCTGAAGCCAGCCAGTGACTTTGGTTCAACGCCTCGCGAGGTGAGTTGGGGCTTTGAGCCAAATCGGCAACCCTGCGGATAAGAACCCTGATTGGACTCATGCAATCTACGCCAGTGGATTGGAATCTCGAATCCAAACAGTGAAAATTTGTGGAGTTGCTGAGCCGTGGGTCTTTCCGATCCGCCGCTAAACGGGCAACGAGCGATGGTTGATTGTGATTGACTGGAACCTTGGTCCAGAATGGCATCTATCTAGCGACGACTCAACAAACGAGACGCGGGGCAGGACGAATTCTACCCGCCCGGTTAAAGACCATATCAAGCACAAAGGACCTTTCGACAATCGCATTCGTCAGAGCAAAAAGCAATGACCCTTGTAATGTTGGAGATCCTTAGCGGGGACGGCGGTAATTCGAGAGTGCTCACAGGGGGCCAGAGCTCAGATGTTGAAGCGGGAAGTCTAGACAAAGACCGAAGGCTATTGATAGATACCAATCATGCGGTGCTTGACACAGTCAAATTGTTAGGTAGTCACGTCTGGAGAAAGTTGAGCCTGGAGAAGGATGGTAGGAGAGTCAGAGCATGGATGATACGAGTTGTGGGAAGCCCATGGAGAGACTCGCATCCAAGCATGTTGTGCAGCACTACGGCAGAATTAATTGCCGATAGTCGGTAGCAATCGAGGCCCTTCGCATGAGTTAAGAATGAAGGCGCTGGTTCGCTGCAGGAACCGCTCCTGGAGGGCTAAGGGAAAAGCCTAATGCACTTTTCAGCTGACTTGATCGACCTGACACGAGGATGGTTGAATACAAGAGATAGAGAGCGGTCTGTACTCCGTACTCTGTCTGCCCTCTTTCCCTTAGCAGCACGAACATTCAAAATTTAGGATTGTTGGGACTAGTATCTCATTTATGGCTTAGTTGTCCCAGATTATATTGCCAGTGATATCACCGACATTTGTGTACTCAGTGCAAGAGCCTGACCGAGTCGCGTCCGCATAGCCTATTTTTCAGGCACAATCAGGAGAATTGACCTAGGTAGAAAACAAATCTCACAAGTCTTTAATCATGTTTGTAATAATATTCCATACGCAAATCCCCTAACGCCAGCACATCAAAACTCAAGGAAATGAGGAAAAGAGCGAGTTACAGATGGTGAAATACAAGTGAGGAAAGAAACATCAGTGACCTCATTCGACAAGTTTACGCAGCAGTCGCGAATCTCTTCTTCCGGGCTTCCATAGCGAGACGATCCTTCTCGCTCAACCCACTCTGCTGATTATTCTTGGGGCCATTCCCTTCGCCGCGTTGGTTTTGGTTTTGGTTGCGGTTTCCACGATCTCTGCCCCGGAATCTGTTTCTGCCTCCAACGTCACGTCTCTTGCCTCCCCGTGTTGCTTGCTCATTGTCAGTACGACCTCTCTTGCGGGGCTTCTCTGTCGGAAGAGCCTCGTCCAAGCCCTTCACACCACTGCCGGTAGTTTCCTGAACGCCCGTGCCGAAGCGCTTCGCTCTCTCCAGCTGCTTCTCTGCGTCCGCAATAGCAGCCTTGGAATCCTCTGTGATACCGAACTTCTCCGCTCTGGCCTTGCGTTTCCTCAATTCCTCCTCCAACTCAGTCACGGGAAGACCCATTGAGTAGTCAGGTGCCGGTTTCGCTTCCGCCTCTGTGGTAGTAGCTGGCTCGGCGGGTGCTGCCTCCGTTCCCTCATGCCCTTGTGCTCCACTCTCAGCTGATGGCGCAGCTCCCTTCGACTCAACCTTAAGATCATCCGTAGTAGCAGGGTTGGTATCGAGTTTCTGGTTCGTAACAGCGACCGGGTTAGCCACCGCACCCTGGCCGCCAGCAGCAATCGCAGCGGCGCCAGCTTCAGTAGAAGGCTTCGCTGGTTCGGCAGCAGCGACGTCATCATCCTCCCAATCAATAACATCATCTGCAGTGTCGGTCTTGGGAGCAGAGGCAGGGGCTGGCGCAGCCTGGGCTTTGTTATCATCCTCCTGGAGACGAGCGACCATCTCCGCCTTCTTGCCGGTGTGAGGGAGCGAGCGAGATTTTAATATCTCCACAAGCTCCGCGTTCGTCTTCTTGCTGTAGTCGGTGGCCATTGTGATGGGTGATGTACGGTTATGGTAGGGAGTGTTGTTGTTTTTGCTTAGGAATCGGACGTCAAAGGACAGGTTCGCGCGAAATGATTTCTTTGCGCTTCGGAATCCGGAGGGGTGTAGTTGGAATGATTCGCGCAATAAACACCAAAGCCAATAGCGTATATGTGATAATTGGGATAAAATTGATGAAACTTTGCGACAATTGACAGTAGCAAGCAGATGAATCAACGCGCGAAACAATCGCGCAGTGCGATTAAGCTGTGGTTTGTTTCCTCTCGGGAAGTATCACGTGATATGACATCTGCCTAGTTCCTGGCTCAGCTTTCCTCTCCTACCTCTCTCTTTTCATTTTTCTACTCTGTCATGGGCTAGCCTTAAGAGAAAGCCACCATTGTAACCTATGTGCTGTATGCACACCAGCCTGTACCCCATCAGTACACAGTTATTTGCAGCACTGTCCTTATTGATGGATGGGCGTGGGGTCCAATCCCAGTCCAGTGGTCTTCCAGCCAATATGCCATGCTTCCGGTTGCACGAAAACTACCTACGCTGCAAGTTTAATCGGAGCTTCCGAAAACTTGACAGCTGAAAATTCAAGGGAGCTCTCTGATCCTGGTAGGCTTAGAGCTTCTGACATGGCACCATACAAGCAGTTGTGGCAAATCCAAGGCAATGCCACTGCGCCACAACAATCATGTGATCTACACCATATCAGGTTATTGCCATTGTTGTCAACAATGTGGCTTCATCATCCATACTGATAGCTGACGTCCTAGTTGATTGGGATGTCTTTCGAATATCAAGGAGTAAATTTGTTTTGTAGAACGTATGGCTTGATGATGCCAACTCATAGTGGACAATGTTCTCAGGCCTTCGTGGTGACATCCATAGACGGAATCACAAACCTAAGTCTAATTCACAACAATCTCGGTGGCACCGACCTTCTCAGCCTCCCGGTTTAACCCATCAATCTCGGCTTGGACATACGGGATACCAGTCTCCAGCCTCTCTTCATGAGTGAGCTGCTCAATCTCCCCAGGGAAATAAATTCGATCTACTCCTGCCATCGTCTCGGAGCCCACCACTCGTTGGTATAGATAATCCATGCGTTCCTTGAACTCCTCCAGCCCCATGAAAAGGTCTGGCTTGATAGCGACAAGGAAATGTCCTACATCAGCCAGCTTGGAAGGGTCATACGGGTTGGTGACATGTCCTGCAAAAGCAGACCCAGACAGCACCCCCGAGAACACGTCCATCATGACCGCCAATGCAGACCCCTTGGGCCCTCCCATCGGCAACATCACTCCCTCAAGCGCCTTGTTTGGATCATCCGTCGGCCGTCCCTCGCCATCCAAAGCCCAATCACCCGGAATTTTCTCGCCGCGCCTCGCAGCCTTGTAGATCTTGCCCCTCGCCGCAACCGAGGGCGCCATATCCAGTATAAACGGTTTCTCCTTGCCCCCCGGTGCACCACACGCCAACGGGGATACCCCCATCAGTTTCTCCCTGCCACCCCAAACAGGCAGCGCTGGCGATGAATTTGTGAAAACCAAACTCATCATCCCCGCCTCGATGGCCTGCTGCACAACCCACGCAGACATCCCGAAGTGATTTGAATGCTTCACCGAGACGAATCCAATCCCGAACTCGCGGGCCATCTCGATCGCCCGCTTCATCCCCATATGGGCGGCAAGGAACCCGAATCCGTTCTGTCCATCTACCTGCGCCACTACGGGGGTGATCTGGTTAAGGACGGGAATGGCCTTGGCGTCCAGTACCCCCTGCCGGACCCGCTCCATGTAAGATGGGATGCGGTTAATGCCATGAGTATCGACTCCACGCAAATCTGCAAGGACTAGGCATTCCGCGATGATGTTGGCGTTTTCCGGAGAGACACCGTTGGCTGTTAGAACAGACTGGACAAAAGCTCGAGCATTGTCTGCTGAGACGAAATGCTTCTTTGTTGTCGTTTCCATTGGTAAAGTAGTCTTCTGTAGAAGTTGAGTATCAAAGTGGAGTTCACGGTGCTGACTCCACTACTTAACAGCCCTCTCTCAACAGCAGTAGAAGAAATAGTCCGAGACTATAGTCTGAGTTTGAACAATACAGACGAATTCAAATTCTGGATAGTTCAAGGACAGGATTTTGTTCCCATCAAGCTCAATGCTTATCCCCGCCAGACAGTCATCTTCTCCACCACAATCTCGGACATTCCCCGCATTTTATATACTATACGGCTACACACCCAGATGAGTCATTTAAGTATGTTGGATGAATCAGAAATCGCATTTTAGGAGAAGATGTCTGAAATAGATGTGCTCCATACATCGTTGTGGGCTCCAACCAAATAAGTAGTTTGATTAGTGCATATGGCTAATGAAAAGAGACGCTGTGCACACAGTTGCGGTACAACTCACATTCCCTCTATCCTCTCCCACTAAAGGCTGCATTAGTCGTTGCATGAATAGCTTAGTTGGAATTATTATAGGTAGGACGAGGATGAAATGGCACGGGGAAATCTACGCACTAAGCAAGGAATGTGTACCTTCCTTCAGGTGTGTTGTCTCTTCGATGGGGACCCTTATATCAAAGTCACCACATGGGAAGTAACCCATCAGACATCCAGGTAATTGGTCATTCTCTTGCCAGAGAGCAGCCTCCAAGTTAGGCCGTAAGGCTCCAGGTGATATTTACCTATAATGAGAATTCTCTGTGCGTATAAATTAGTTATTGGTTAGAATGAGTACTGCGGCCCCCGTCAGGGTAAATCGGATCGCTAGATGACTGCGACATTCCTACAGTTTCTATCATCAGCTGATGGTCTCTTGCAACATGGCTTACTATTCACCTGAGACTGAAAGTTAGAGCGATCATGTGCTTGGAGGTATATCAAAGCGTGGGAAATCAGGTAATATACGCTCCTCTAAATGATGCTTTGTCTTCCTAAAAGACAAACCATCTTCCTTTTTTTTCTGGCCTCATTAATTATCACAAAATATGTATCTGCTCATATTTCTCCTAAGTTGGTCGATTTTGGGATGCTATCATTGCACATAACGGCCTAATGCTTAGTATTCTTCTGCCTTCCCATTCTCTCGAGCCAAGTCTGGAGATTAAAAGTGCCCTCGGTGAGGTCGCGAGAATCGCCAACGAACATGAACGTGTGTCCCAGATCATCGACTGGCTCTTGGCTATCCATGTACTCGATCAGGCAGGCTTTGGTTTGGTAATGGTTCGTCTCGTATGCTGCCAATTTCTCTCCATCTTTCACTGTTTGCACATTATACACAGCACCCTCGACAGTCGCATCCTGTGGACCATCCACCATAGCCGGGTATTGACCCCAGAGCTTGCAGGCATACCCTACCACTTTCGCAGGCCGGAGTTTTGGCTCGTGGTCGAGATCGAGAATGTCGGCCAGTATCTTCGGGTCCATCAGTGTTCCATAAAAGAAGTAGAGCCCTGTGGGTGGATCAAAAAGATCACGCAGAGGAGGCGGATTCGATGACTGATAGTACCAGTCTGGGGGGGGGCGCTTCTCATCTTCAACACAAACGGCGAGATCTTCGACTGAAGATCCTCGGGAGGAGGGGGAGGCGGAGGGGGAGGCGGCGATAATGACGATGAAGAGACGGACATTGTAGCAAGTTGAGATCAAGAGTTATTCAGAGATTGGTATAGAGCAAAACAGCCGAAGAGTTGAAATTTATTCCATTATCCTTCTTGAGGATGTAATGATGTTTTTCTATAACAAGCAGGTCTATTATTCCCCACCATGGTCCAGGCTTCCAAGCTACAATGGATGAAAGGCCCATTGGTGGTCTCGCAGGCATTATGGAGACACTTGCAGCCTAACAACGAAGAAACTAACCATAGAACCAGTATTATTCCGCAGCATACTCTACCCCAAAGCTCTCTTTCTGACCTTTGCAGATAGACGGTGACTGGCCACCAGAAGTATGAGCACGATATACTTCCTAACAGATTTGTTAGTACATGATGCAAAAATGATTACTACTATCGGAATACCTGATCCATCGGCGAAGCCAAGCTTTAACCAGGGAATGTCTTGACCTTTAGTCTTAAGCTTAGGGGGGCAGGAACGCTCGCATCTTTCTTGTACTGGATCCGATGTTTATGCCCTCCAATCCATAGATCAAACATGGGGGCGCCCGTCCTGTGAAGTGGTGCTCTCCCAGAACCAGCGCATTGCTTTTTCGTGCAGTCAATTGGTCTAGGAACCAGGCAAAGACACCGAAGTGTTGGAGGACACCCCACTCAAGACTAATGGAAGTTCATGGAGTATTGTTGGACTGCGCGAGGCGATGCAAGATGCGTCAAATAGCGTAGCAACCGCACCCTTTGCTGTTGGCAAGGCAGATTCGTGACCCGGCGCGCAGGTGTAGTTCTGAGTTCCTCGGCCGATCGCCAAATACTTCAACGTCAATCCGCGAGAAAGCATAGGAAGGATTGAGTTCGTATCGCACAATGGCAGCATGGTATTGGCCCCGATGCAGTTTCCAAGCTGTATTTCGCCGCGTGCTTGGGCGGCCTTAACACGGAGTATAGTTAATGCCCCATTCATAGGGAGAGGTGGAGAGGCCCCGACAGTGATGACTGCAAATAGGAAGCAGATAATCGTCAAGAAATGCATGATGAGATAGAATAGCAACTGCAGCTGAATCTCGAAATCTGCCCAGGTGGGTGAATCCAATATATAACTCGGAGAGTGCACATACCCTCGGACACAACACAATAAATAGAAAATAGATATCTTTAAAGAATTAAGGCATTACTCAGTTTCATATCCAATGCAAAGTAAAGCAAAGTAAATACCATAATCCAGCATCACCATCCAACAAAACAACAATGTCGTGTACAACATTGCCAACTAGCCGCAGCAGGAAGTAAATGAGGGCCATCTCCAGGTTCCCAAAGAGAATCAGATGGCAGTGAATATATTTTAGCGCAGAGACACAGACAAGACTGAGCCTCACAGGCGGTCAAAAGTCAGTGCGTTACCGTCTGAACAAAGTTGATATGCCACAATGCTCTCTTTGGGCAGGAAAGGATACTGCCGTGACACAAGTCTAGGCCTTTATTGTGATTCAAAAACAGGCTCAGGCTCCAGCATCACATCGATACGTAGTGGAATCGAGAGATAGCATGTTAGCCGCGGAGGATTCCTGTCAATGCCATAGCCATCGCATGAGTTGTTTCGAAGATGTGAAGCCTGACCAGGAAAGAACACATGACGCTGTGGAGGCCATGCAAAACTTTCGAGATGTTCCATAGCATAGCTAAGTACGAGCCTCTATCGGATAGACGAATCGATCGTATGCATTTCAGAAGAACTGCTATGTTGAGACACATAAAACCAACAAGGTCTGAACGTTAAGCGCCGGCTCGATGGAGCTCGAATGTCCTTTGATCTTGTCCTATTCTGGTTGCTTGCTAAGGATCTCAGAACACGCCCACATTTTGCATGTCGGCGTAGGGTAAACACTTTCAGCTGGAGCTGATTGCCGCATCTTGAGGGCGAACAACATCCCATATGAGCCAGTATCAAAAGGCCATGATATCGCTTACAATTGTCATTAGCAGCATCCATCGGTAAACGTAGAGGCCACAGTCATCTACAGACACGTACTCAATTCACATATCCTCTCATAGTACCAATAGCGGAAAAACAACGCACAATTTTCAATAAGAGATGGATTATTGCCTTCTGATCGAAAGTTAGCTTGAGGATCACATCACTCGATAATAAATGCCAAGCTTCAATGAGTAAGCCCACGCCACCCAAGCTTATCACGTGGCTCCTTGATTTAGCTTAGTCACCAAGCTTCTCTAGTGGCGCCTGGACAACTTCCTTTTTGCGCTCACGTTCTCTTCATCGCAGTACATCGCTAATTGCTCCCCAAGTCATCCCAAATTGGCCGTTTCCCGCGGTGTTTGATCCGGATGTAGCTGTGGTCACCCCTATCTGGGATATTTTGCTCTCTATCTCACCTGCGAGAGTCACCTAGCTGCCAACATGTCTGACGGTAGGTTTCCTACACCCCTATCTCCGAACCCTTTACTGATCACTCTATCAGCTGATTTTGAAGCTGTTCGAAGGCTCCAGGCCGAGCGGAATGCCGCTGCAGCTGGGAAGAAAGGTTCCAGGACCTTTGATCCGTCTAGCCAGCGCACTGACAACTCAACCAAGGCCTCCCTGACCGAATCTTTTGATACCACTTTGTACGACCGCGACGGCCCCAATAAATATTCAGGTTACAACACGTCGATTGCCGTGGATGGCGTTGATGAGGACATGGAAGATGCGGACGCTGGCCACCGTTTGGTTGGCCAGTACACCGCCACAAAAGATCAAATTGATGAGTTTGCTCAGGGCAATGGGGTCGAAGAGGAAGATATCCTGCTTGGACGCGAAAAGGCAGCCAGGATTACAGACCGAGAGACAGATTATCAGAAACGTCGGTTCAATCGAGGGGCCTTAACGCCTACGAGGGCCGATCCCTTTGCCGCGAACACCCACGCGAGTGTGGAGAAGGAGGGCCAGACTTACCGTGAAATCATGGCTCTGCGTGAGCTCGAGAAAGAAGAAGAGCGTGTTCAGAAGCTGATTTCGGAACAGCAGGCTCAGGGTGAGAACGGTGTCACAGATCATGAGGCCACACTGAAATTAGAGGATAAGGAAAACGTCGAAGCCGGCTCAACGGTCGCCGTGGCGACGGGACGCAAGCGCAAGCAGCGATGGGATGTAGCCGGCGAGTCCGCTGAAGCCGTCTCCGAGGAAGCTCAGGCTGCCGAAGCAAAGGCAAAAAAGTCGCGTTGGGATCAAACACCCGCTCCCGCTGTCCCAGGCGCTGCCGAGGAGGCTCCCAAACGACGATCGCGATGGGATCAGGCTCCAGCACTGGGAGCCGCAACACCAGTTGGCAACCAAGGGCTTGTGACCCCCATGCATCCATCTCAAGTAGGTGTGCCTTTGATGCCAACCAGTTTCGGAACTGATATCTCTGGTCGAAACGCGCCTCTCTCGGACGAGGAGCTTGATCTGATGCTTCCATCAGAGGGCTATAAAATCCTTGAGCCGCCTCCGGGATATGCTCCCATCCGGACTCCTGCGAGAAAGCTCATGGCCACACCCGCTCCTATCGCTGCTACTGGCGTAGGAGGATTTATGATGCAAGAGCCCGAGAGTGCTCGCGCAATGGGCAAGCAACTGCCAACTGAGATTCCGGGTGTCGGTGACCTGCAATTTTTCAAGCCTGAGGATATGGCGTACTTCGGCAAATTGATGGAAGGAGGTGATGAGAGCACAATGTCAGTGGAGGAGTTGAAAGAGAGGAAAATCATGAGGTTGCTGCTTAAGGTCAAGAACGGCACGCCGCCCATGAGAAAGACAGCCTTGCGTCAACTCACGGACAACGCACGGCAATTTGGCGCCGGTGCTTTATTCAACCAGATCCTTCCCTTGCTCATGGAAAAGTCTCTTGAGGATCAAGAACGACATCTGTTAGTCAAGGTCATCGATCGTGTGCTATACAAGTTGGATGATCTCGTCCGCCCCTATGTCCACAAGATCCTCGTCGTCATTGAACCGTTGCTCATCGACCAGGACTACTATGCCCGTGTTGAGGGTAGAGAAATTATCTCTAATTTGGCCAAGGCTGCCGGTCTTGCTACGATGATCAGCACCATGCGTCCTGATATCGACCATGTCGATGAGTATGTTCGAAACACAACCGCTCGAGCATTCGCCGTCGTTGCTTCCGCCCTTGGTATCCCGGCTCTTCTTCCATTCCTACGCGCGGTGTGTCGCAGCAAGAAGTCCTGGCAAGCCCGGCATACCGGTGTCAAGATTGTCCAGCAGATTCCTATTCTGATGGGCTGCGCTATCTTGCCTCATCTCAAGGGTCTTGTTGATTGTATTGCAGACAACTTGAGCGATGAACAAGCTAAGGTCAGAACCGTCACTGCGCTGGCTGTGGCCGCTTTGGCGGAGGCTGCTAATCCCTACGGTATCGAGAGCTTCGATGAGATTCTGAACCCTCTATGGACCGGAGCCAGAAAGCAGCGCGGTAAAGGTCTGGCTGCATTCCTGAAAGCTGTCGGCTACATTATTCCTCTCATGGATGAAGAGTACGCAAACTACTATACGAGTCAAATTATGGAAATTCTTCTTCGCGAGTTTTCCTCTCCCGATGAGGAAATGAAGAAAGTCGTTCTTAAGGTGGTGTCGCAGTGCGCGAGCACAGATGGTGTGACAGCCAGCTACCTCAAGGAGCACGTGTTGACTGATTTCTTCAAGAGTTTCTGGGTCAGACGGATGGCTTTGGACAGGAGAAACTACCGCCAGGTGGTTGATACCACAGTCGATCTTGGACAGAAGGTCGGCGTCGGGGAGATCCTCGAACGTGTAGTGAACAATTTGAAGGACGAGAGCGAACCTTATCGGAAGATGACGGTGGAAACCGTCGAGAAACTGATCGCATCTCTTGGTGCAGCAGACGTTTCAGAGAGACTGGAAGAGCGGCTCATCGATGGCGTTCTCTACGCATTCCAAGAACAGAGTATTGAGGATATTGTGATTCTTAATGGCTTCGGAACCGTCGTCAACGCCCTCGGCACCCGCTGCAAGCCATATCTCCCGCAAATCGTCAGTACAATCCTTTGGCGGTTGAACAACAAGTCTGCCACTGTCCGTCAACAGGCTGCAGATCTCATCTCTCGCATCGCAATGGTTATGAAGCAATGCGGAGAAGATGCTCTTATGGGTAAGCTCGGTATTGTTTTGTACGAATATCTGGGTGAAGAATACCCCGAAGTTCTTGGTTCCATCCTCGGCGCTCTTCGATCAATTGTCACAGTCGTCGGTATCAACCAGATGCAGCCACCCATTCGGGATCTCCTCCCTCGACTGACCCCTATTTTGCGTAATCGACACGAAAAAGTCCAGGAGAACACAATTGATCTGGTTGGTCGTATTGCCGATCGTGGGCCCGAGTCCGTCAATGCTCGTGAGTGGATGCGTATCTGCTTCGAGCTGCTTGATATGTTGAAGGCGCACAAGAAAGGTATCCGTCGTGCTGCCAACAACACCTTTGGTTTCATCGCCAAGGCGATTGGTCCTCAAGATGTTCTGGCGACGCTGCTCAACAATCTGCGGGTCCAGGAACGTCAGTCCCGTGTCTGTACGGCTGTGGCGATCGGTATTGTAGCCGAAACGTGTGCTCCCTTCACCGTTCTTCCGGCTCTGATGAACGAGTATCGTGTTCCTGAACTTAATGTGCAGAATGGTGTGTTGAAGGCCATGTCTTTCCTGTTCGAGTATATTGGCGAGATGGCCAAAGACTACGTGTATGCGGTTACGCCTCTGCTCGAGGATGCTCTCATTGACCGAGACCAAGTGCATCGGCAGACGGCTGCTAGCGTGGTCAAGCACATTGCACTCGGTGTGGTGGGCTTGGGATGCGAAGATGCCATGGTTCATCTGCTCAATCTGGTCTTCCCCAACATCTTCGAGACCAGTCCTCACGTGATTGACCGTGTCATTGAGGCCATTGATGCGATCCGCATGGCGGTTGGCACGGGCACGGTCATGAACTACGTGTGGGCGGGTCTTTTCCACCCGGCCCGCAAGGTGCGCGTTCCGTACTGGAGAATCTACAATGATGCGTATGTCCAGAGCGCCGATTCCATGGTCCCTTACTATCCGGATCTGGAGGATGACGGCCTGGCGCGGCCAGAGCTATCGATTGTAATTTAAGAAACAAAAAGCGAGTTTAGCTTCTTTGATGTACTTTGATCCGTGTCGTCGACGTTTTCACATTTCTCATTCCCTGATAGTTTCTGGGCCTGTCTTATCACGAACGGTGTTGATGGCGGAATTGGCGTGGATTGAATTCAATCTATCCTGGAGATATAGCGAGCAATCAATGATTTTGTACGCGGTTTATACTTGCTACGCTGGTGTAGATGTTCGTAAATCCTGAGTCACCTAGCTTGATTTTCCCCCCAGAAACCACCGACATCAAGCAGTTTCACAGAACATCGTCTCCTGATGTTCAGTTGTAGCAGAGCAGCAGTCCACATCTCTACTCACCGTCCTTTCTGATGTAAACAATCAGTCCCCAAAAACGTCTGATCCCGGAGTGACATCATCAGCGGAATCCCCATGTTTGTGTCAGTGCCACAGATCCTCTTGTGCCACCCACCACAGCTTGTATACAACGATGCTATACTGCCACTGAATAGCGAGTACCTGCACCTGCACCTGCACCCAAAACAAACACCTGCAGACAAGCAGTAAGCCCAAATACCTCCCATTATCTGTCTATCTATTATCTCTATGGCTCAAGGGATGAAGAACAGTGACGTACATTCTCTGCTGCTTCTAGCCTGCTAACCTTGCTAACAACAACATACTCACCGGCGCAGGATGCAAATCCACCTACTTCGACTACAACTTCCGGAGTACTATCATTCCTGGCTTTCCCCCACCCAGCGGTACAGCGTCCTCCAAAGTCCGAAGCAATGAGGCAGCGCAGTGTGTGCACGACGCAATGTTAATTTGAGCCCCAACAGTAGTAGTTAGTAGTTAGTAGTTAGAAGTAGTATTCGCATGGAAGCAGGGACGCACATGTCTGGAAGCGGGTCCGGATTCCTGGACGCGTGTTGGTCTATTTTCTGTATGAAATGTATCCCCATTCACATTATTACATTACATCATCAGGCCGGGACTACTGTATCAACTACCTTATCAGCTACCTTATCAGCTACCTTATCAACTGCTGGATGTATGTATGTAGTCGTACGGACTACGGAGTTACATAATGAGTATCTATTACTTGCGCATCGTACATTGATGGGTTACATCCGCTCCCCTGGCTAACATCTGGAGAGATAGCTGTGTAATCAAACCACAGTCAATGGCCATTACTCATTGGAAGGGAGGAAGGGGAGGGGAGGGCTTGGGCTTCTCGGTGTCAGATTCAGATTCAGATTCAGACTTCAGATTCAACAATGGCTTCAGAAGATCATGTGTCGGCGCCCCTCCATTGGCTGGCACATGAGTCTTTGTCTCGAAGGGCGATTCTCCACTCCGTCAAGCCACCAGCCTAAATGGATACGCCGTAGTCCAGACCTGACATCCATAGCCAACTAGCACATAATATATAGAGTTATATGCATTATACCTATAGGTATAGAGGAGGTTGTTGATCTCATTATCATTATTATTGTTGTTGTTGACTGTAGTCTGTACCACTGAGACAAGCTATCTACATCAAACACCAAACATACCCCAGGCGGGTATCAGATCTCTGCGACACCCCGAGGACGCGTGTATCTCCAACAGTGTGTATTAGACAATAATAAGATATGGTATATTACGTAGGTAGCGACCGTGAGTGCAAAAAATCAACAAAAAACATGACTCCAGACATTGCAGCACTGAAAAGGAAGCATTTCATTTTGATGCTCCGGCCCAGTTGCGTTGGGTATCAGGTCCAATCTTTCCTCCATAATAATCAATGGTACCTCCCCTGATCAGGGCACAGTGGGCGAATCCCGTCATATTCGCCAGGGTGGTACGCCGTAGACAAAACCAGAAAAGAAAAAAAATAATAATAAAAAAAAAAAAAGAAGAAAGCAGCCGAGGGTAGAAGAGTAAATGAGGGGGGGGAAAGCGAAAATGATGGCCTGCTGCGATAATTCTCCGGGCACAGCCCTGTACCTCGGAAATGCAGAAAACGATTGAGACACCACTTGATGTCAAGTGGGCCGTATGAGAGAAGCTTCGATCATGAGTATCAAAAAAAAAAGGGTAGTCTAGCGAGGGAATCGAATGTAGAGAAAAAGAGAAAGGAGAAAAAAAAAAAAACCGAAGACGAACAACCGATACCTCTATGGTCATGACGGGGAATATGGTAGACATCAATGTGAAAATCCCTCGAATCCTTGTACCGTGTCCTGTCCATCCATGTATCAACGCGAAAAGTAAACAAGGGAAAATGGGTATCAATTCTCCGAAAACTCAGCAGAGATCAGAAATGAAGAAAGAGAAGCAGCGAGGGATGGTTGTACAAGGGATAAAACGGTCGAACGTCATACAATGCAATGTGTGCATATCCCCATCCACTTGCATCCAGTGGAGGGGATACCGGAAAGAGGAAAAAAAAAAGTCGACGAAAAGGATCATATCAGAAAATGGGCGATGGTGCACTGATTTCAGTCGTCCTCGCCGCCCGACACATTCTCCTTTTCGCCCTTGTGGACCTTTTTATGCCGACGCAGGTTCGAGACAACGGAAAAGTGTCGGCCGCAACCTTCAACGTCACATGCAAATGCTGGATGCAACCGTTAGTACAACAGGCTTGATGCATGCTCGTTTCACTCCAGGACTTACGTTTTTCGCCAGTGTGGCTGTACATGTGTGTTTGCAACGAGGATGGGCGGGTAAACCGCTTGTCGCACACTTTGCACTTGTGCTTCTTCTGTGTGTTGGATGGCATTTTCGAGCTGAACTGGCTCATCATCGACTGAGGTCCCGGAGGTGCACTCCCAGACAAGAGAGTCGAAGGACGGGGTAGTGTTCGCGACAGGTGCCCATTGTCATACGATTCTGATGTTGTAGAACTGTAGTCTGTAACAGACGAATCGACTGACCCAACAGAAGCGCTGTAGTATGGGTAGTTTCCGCCAGAGGAAATCGACGATCCGGAAGAGTGGGTGGACGGGAAACCATAGGAGTCTCCTGAGCCTCTTGAGCCGCGAGGGCCATAGATGTTACGCGGGGTCAGATCCTGGCTGAGCGCTACCATACCACGGCTGGCATCGAGAGCGTCACCGAATGTTGGACCCGATGGGGCTTGCGAATGATTGGCACGAGGATCGCTGAGATCAAGACCCTTTTGTCAGCCACACTGTTTTTGTTGCTTGTTCTTGAGCTGAGAACTGGGAAGTCGCAAACTTACACATGTGATATCCGACGAGCGTCTGGGTGCTGGTGGGCGAGAGAGGGAGCATAGCTGATAGGAGCATATGTCGCAGGCGTGAAGGTGCTCATCGACGAAGCTGTGGTATAGGTAGGGGTCTGTTCGAAGGTGGTGCGGGGCATCTCATGTTGCAAGCTCATCACCTCAGGTCCGGGATAGCTGGTGGGTGCAGTCGAGTAGCTGCTGCTGGCGACCAGCGAAGGCGCAGAAACGGGGATGCTCGAGTATGGTAGAGACAGTGCAGGTCTGCTCACTTCCTCTGGCTTCGTGTGGTTGATCCCCAAGGAAGTTGCATACACCGGTGGAGTGGAATGGGAGGAGGTATGCGCGGCAGTCCAAGGATCGGTAAAGTGAGGAGTGTGATGGGGTACATTGTGTGAATAGACGCTGTCAAACCCCATCCCGCCATACTGGCGGTTCTGGTTCTCAATGACCATCGTCATGGAGGGTAGAATTTCTGATGATTGTTCTAAATTTTCTCAAACGTGATATCGATGGTGTCTGCGGAAGACAGCAGCTCTTGCACAGCCCTCTAGGAAAACGTGGTGAGAGGACAGGGCAGAGGGGGACAACAGACGACACGAGGTAGGTTTAGTCGCTGGGTGGGAGACGAGCGATTGATTGTCCACCAGGGATACCTGTGTGGAAATATGTGGGAGAGTGGTATCCGGTGGAGAAGTAGGAACAATGAGAAGAATGAGGACACAGAGTGATAAACTGTGAGCTTTGAAATTCGATCTGGCGCAAGGTAGGTTGGTCAATTGGGTCAAGATGCGCAGGCACCCGGAGGTTTTTTTTTTTAATTTCTCTCGAGCCCTTCGGATGGAAAGGAAGATAATGACCAGAAGGGTGATAATCTGCGTCCTGGTACTTTGTGTGCAACAGCGCAGGGGAGGAGGATGTTGATAGAGAATAAGAAGAGGGTGAGAGCTCTTTGAAACCCAGCAGAGATAGGTAGAAGGAAAGACAGTCTGGGGAAGGACCCGAAGGGGATCGGCGAAGCTTATGAACAAACACAGAATCTCAGCATGAGGATGGACCGCAGGGACAAAGGCCCTGGCGTTGCTGTGTTGGTGATGGGTTAGTGCCACTGACGACGTCCCGTCGGAGACGGTTGCAGATCGTTACTTTGGGCTGCTTAGGCTTTTGAAACGGCGCCAGTGTTAATTGTCAAAAACAAAAAATCAAAATAATGGAACAATAATAATAATAATATAATAATATAATAAAATAGTACCAGAATTTAAATCGATAAAATCAGTCGAAAAATAGTGGAAATGGAAAGGCGTTGCTTAATGACTTTCTGAATCTCCAAATGGGAACCAGTTCCTCGGGTGACTCTCAAGGTTTCGATGGGTCTTTTCTGCCCTCTTTCCCCTTTCTTTTTAGTTTCCTATGTTCTTTTGTTTTATTTTCTCTATTTTTTTTGGCTTTTTTTATTCTATTGTTTTTGTTTTTGTTTTTGTTTTTTTGATTTTTTATTTCATACTGTTTTACTTTTTGTTCCCACTGGAGCTGATGGCAAACATTCAATTCCTCTGAACCATTTAAATTAAACCACTTATTTATATCGCGTTTAGTTTATATTAACTTCTCTGAAGAGATCCCTTCTTTGCCTTCTTTCATATAATGTAGAATTTTAGACTCGACAGCAGACATCAACATTCAGAATAGGCAAGTGATCCAGCTTTTATCGGCTTCGTAGGGAAACGCTACGCAGGGATAGGGGAAAAGGGGACATCTGAAACTCCGTGATCGGAACAAAGTATGTACTATGGATGAGACCTACATAGGCAAAATTCCTACCAACCACCAACGGCTTGCAGCCAATGCCAATACGTAAACCTCTACGGCGCTCAATCAGAATGAGCATTAAAAAAAGAAGAAGAACAAAAAAAAAAAAGGACCGACAGAAGTTGCCAGCTATCTACGAATGTGGGTTTGCAGCAAGAAAAAGTGATAGAGCGGCAAACGAGTAACAACACTTACGAGTCTACTACAGATATCTACTATCTACTTACAGTTACGGCAGAGCAATTCTGGAGCAACTTCTGTCAGTTGACGACACAGTTCAAGGGACCCTCATTTCTCAGTGGCCACTGGCCAGTTGACTACCTAAATGGTGCATACTCCAAAAAAGGTACATGGTGCTGAACCACCAACGACCTGATTACAGGCTACTGGCTTCTCCAGTCCATACGTCGATACGTAGCGCGGGAATAATCATCCTCAAAGGGGGGCCGGTGGGCTTCAGGCCTACTGAGGAAGGTAAGTAGGGCACACTAAACCTAACTGGTGGTGGCTAGTAGCGTAAAGGGGGGGACCCTGTGCCGTGTCGGGAGGAAGGAAAGGCTCCATAGCAGAAAAAGGAAAGTGTGGTGCAGGGAAAGGAATTTGAGAGAAAAAAAAAAAAAAAGAAAAGAAAAAAATAGAAAAAGAAAAAAGGCGAAAAAAAGAAATTACATGATGGCGACCAACGCCAAGACTTAAGCTTAGATGCAGCAACCAAGGTTCGCCTTGAGCCCTTTTTAAGGGTTGTTTCAAGGTTGTTAGCGGGGAAATGGCAGATCACAGAGATACGTCAAAGGGTATATCCGTTCCGTGGGGGGGGGCAGTCATCAATATCCAGACTTCAAGTTTGTCCCATCAGCAATTACCGGAGAATGAGAATAGTAAGAACTATGCAACTACGGAGTACTCGGTACAATATGGGATGGAAGAGAATTCCGTGTGTACATACTTACTTCGTGTATGGCTCGGAGAAACAAGCATCCAGAGGAATAATGGCGGGTCCAACCACTCCGCTTACTATGGCTTCTTATTTAGCCGGCAAAAGTAACCATCACCAAACAAACTGGGGAGGAGGTATAAAATCACTGCCAGCTGATCCTCTATTGTCTGGACCGTTGGACAGTCGATATACTAAATCAGGAGAATGGTTGGACCATGATAAGATTGCGATTCTTGATTTAGATATTCAATACTAATCAAGTAAACCCCAGGGTGAAGCATTCAAAGGAAGTTTATTTGGTCGTGAGGGACAGCAGATGATAATCTTTGATGATCTGGCACTCCAGAGTAGAGAGCTGATCCGAGTCCGACTGCCAAATAACCAAGCTGGCTTACTTTCAGCATGGTGGCTGCATGGTTTCAGTCCATAGTAGGAATACTAACGTAATACAGAGTGCTCCTTCAAGCATGCGCTGACGGGAAATATATATCTACCATATGCAATAACTCCGGCCTCAATTTATGCTTTGCATGTTGATACTCTTGCCTTTGGAATATTATTATGTAGTATAGCACGTGAGTATTATGGTCATTCTATATGTTTTTTGACGATTCCTCATGCTCTCATCATTACCCTGTGTCAAATGCGAATGGTGAACAACAGCCACTCTGCCTTTGGGCTTGCCAAGTCATGGACTCGAAGTCGAAGAAGTACGTAGTTCGTTGCAAGCGGGGCGGCTGAAGCAATTGAATGATGAACAGTCGGATGTGTCTATCAGGCACTAGCCCCAAGATGATTATCAGTCAATCAAAGGAACTGAATTTGGGAGCATTGAAGGATCGATAAATGCAGGATGACGCCATAGGATTCATGATATTGGATATTGGAAATCTGCAATAGCAGGCAGCATCATCAGCATCATCGCCGACCATAAACACTTAAGCCCATTGTTGATTCCTTAGACATCATTCTGGCAAAAGGAGTCACATCGCAGTCGTCATCAATAACCTCGTCGACCTCCAAGACCCCATATGTCATCATCGAACAGCATCATCCCGTGGCCAGTAGAAACGACCTGCAATCTGCTGAACTGCGTCAACTTTCCTGTGGTCAGCATCTCTGAGACACAAGGAACTAGGGACTGTGACCGCATCCGCTTTCCCTCACCTTACTAGTGATGCAAAATTATTCAGAAGAGGCAGCAATGGTGACTCCTCATTCTTTCATGTCGGAGATGTTCCGAAGTAGACAAGTTGTGCTAAAATGCGCTACATGCGTAAGAGACTCTAGAATCTAGATAACTACATAGATAGTCGACACACCAAACGCCTTGCAAGGGCTCCCATCTTAACTTCCGACGCCTTGGTGTTCAGTCATCAAGCCTGAATCATACAATATGCTGGGGTTGAGTTTCATAGAGCGGCTCGATCAGTACGGCACCATAGAGGCAAATTTTCTACAACAGCTACGGGGTAAATAACCAAGATGGCATCTTTCCCGACTGTCTCCTCATGTGTTTGAACTTTTAGTTTGTATCATGATTTCTGCGCCGCGGGCGCCAGTGATGCCGAACCCGCATCGACTGAGATCGCAGCCATCTTGGAAGGATCCCACGGTGTGCCGTGTCGGTTCTTGGTTCTGTTTGGCTGTTGGGATGGTGATATGGAACAGCCACCAAGCCACCGACCGAGCCGTCTTCCTACTCCGTATGTATTCAAATCCCATTTGCTCAGCTCAGTGAACACCTTGCTATTATCTATCTATCTATCTATCCACTCTGTAGTTATCAGAAGCTTAGGTGAGAAATGGGAGTCCCTCAGAGACCGAAATCCAATTTTCACGTTCCCATTTCCCCCTTGTTCGAACAGGGGAGACAGCCTTTGCTGCCTCCAGAGCGACGTCAGAGCGCGGCAGAGAAATGCCACTACTTGATTGGCACCTGCCACCGCCCTTACTGCGTTTAGTGTTTCCCCCCCACCAGCTGGACGGCTTGGGAACAACTGAACAGTCAACTGCTAACCAGTCAACTCTCAACATCGCCGACAAAATACGTCAGAGAGCCTGTCTCGTGCCCGAGTTTCCGTCTGTGGGTGTGTGTACGGACTACCACTACGGAGTAATGAGGGAAATTGGTCATTGGCTCGGGTTCGCTGATGTTGTAGTTGGACTGCTAACTATATGGAGTAGTTGACCACGCAAGATGAAATTTATTCCTTGAGATTCATTTGTGCGCGGCTCCGTGGACTGTAGACACTACGTAGGAGAGCAGAGCAGAGGAGAGGGGTCACTGGAAGGCGAAAATCCGAAAATCCGGACCAGCCAACCTTTCATCTACAGGTACCCTGTAGATCAAGTTCAAGATCGCAAGACAATCCCAGACACATAATCAATAGATACATAATAGTAATAATAATAACCCAAAAATTCTTGTTCTACTTCTCGCCCGTTATCGACGATCAAAATGCCCGCGGAAGGCGGTCTCCGGATCACCATCAGCAGCACACACAAGCTATGTCAAAGTGGGTTCTCGGGGAGGAGGATTGACATCCTGCGGCACTGACACACCACCCAAATGTGCACTTGCTGCAGCCATGCTGCTTCCAGACAAGAAAGACAAGAAGAGGCGTTGTTTACAGTTTCAGAGAGGAGTCCTAACTTCTGGGAGTTCTGCTTCCATCATTTCGAGAAGTATGATTGATCGGATTGATCTCC